ATATATAACACACATTGGGCCTGATTAGATAAGACCCCGCACATTGCAATTCTCTGGTTAGCTCGGGCAGAAATTCATATCTCACGTTTTAACTTTATTGTGACCAAGTCCAAAACGTTGCTTACTTAACCCCTTAAGGACCCAACTTCTGTCATGTGTCTTTAAGGGGTTAAAGGTCAAACGCAATGTATGTCATTTTTAAAATTAATGTTCAAGTATACGGAAGGATTACATTTTATTAGTTAACACGAATGACTATTTAAATATAAACTGACCTACAACAATATGAGAATAAAAGCAAAACATTTAAAAAAATATGTATAGAAATTTAAAATTGGAAAATAGACAATAAACACATTTTTTTAAAATGAATACAATTTCTAATAAAAATATATACGGTATATAATATACAAAGAATAAACATCTAAACATGCCTTTGTTGTTGTTTTCTGTGTAAGTAAGTAACTGAAGGTTGAACGAGAGGGTGCACAGCCATAGATGCCTACACACTGGTCTATAGTTACATCTTCAGTTAGAGTGTTACAGGATCCCCTATGCCTGAACTGGAACTGGGCTCTCAATGGCCCCCTTCTCTTGGCCCAATGTAACAGTGAGCTGTCTTGTGACTGTAACTCTGTACCATTACCAGGGCCGGCGCGTCCATAAGGCAGCACAGGCGGCCGCCTTAGGGCGCACCGGCTCTGGGGGCGCAAAATTCCAGTGACCGGCAGAAGGGAAGTGCTCCCTCCTGCCAGGTCACCTCCTGGATCCCCGGCGCGGCGTGCGGATGAATTGGATTCCGAGGTGGCGAGGGAGCTCTGATCTCTCTGATCTGCTCCCTCGCAGGCTGTTTACTGATGCCGCGGGAGCTGGAATATGATGTCATCAGTAAACAGCCTGCGAGGGAGCAGATCAGAGAGATCAGAGCTCCCTCGCCACCTGGGAATCCAATTCAGCAACACGCCTCCCAGCAGCCCCACTGGACCACCAATGAGATACCCACGCCAGCTCTCCAGGTAGGGAGGCTGGGTGGGAAATTTTAATTTAATTTAGATTATTAATTACTGTGTGTGTGTGTGCATGTGAATATGTGTGTCTGTCAGTGTGTGTGTATGTGAGTTTGTGTGTGTGTGTGGTTCTTTCAGTGTGTGTGTGTGAGTGAGTGTGTCTGTCAGTGTGTGTGTGTGAGTATGTATGTCTGTCAGCGTGTGTGTGAGTGAGTGTGTCTGTCAGTATGTGCGTGTGTGCATGTCAGTATGTGTGTCTGTCAGTGTCTGTGAGTTTGTGTGTGTGTCAGTGTGTGTTTGTCAATGAGTCTGTCAGTGTTTGTGTGTCTGTCAGTGTGCGTGTGAGTGTCTGTCAATGAATGAGTGTGTCAGATAAGTGAGTCTGGCTGTCAGAGATGTCTGTGTGTTTGTCATTGAGCGTGTGTGACTGTCAGTGTTTATACACCCCTGACTGTAGCGTGGCCAAGCGGAGTGTACAGTGGTACAGAAACTTCTGTTTCCTGTACCTGGCAGGACTGACAGGAAAAGCTCACTGTACCGGCATTCGCTCCGCTCAGCCACGCTACAAGAAAGGTAGGAGGCACACCAGGAAGGGGTGGGGACCACTATGGGGGTGGGTGGCGCACCAAGGGACAGGGAGAGGAGGGGAGAGATACCCTAAGGTACAGGAAAAGGAGGGAGGGAGAGGAACACTAAGCGACAGGGAACAGAGGGGGGAGGGGAGAGGAACACTAAGGGACAGGGAAAGGAGGGGGAAGGGAAAAGAACACTGAGGAACAGGAAAAGAAGGAGAGAGGGGAGAGGAACAGTAAGGGTCAGAGAAGGGAGGGGACCATTAAGGGACGGGGAGTGGGGCTAGATGTGAAAGAAACACACAGCGGGGCTTGAGAAGGAAAGAGACATACACAAAGCAGCTGGGAAGAATAAAAGACACAAAGGGGCTGGGAGAAAAGGAGTCACACAAAGGGGCTGGGAGGAGTAAGACACAAAATGTGGGAGGATGTAAGAGTCATACAAAGAGGAGAGATAGGAGACACACAAAGGCAAAAATAGGAGATAAAATACACCAAAGGGAGTCAGATATTTAAAAGACGGCATAAGAAACACAAAAGGGAGGTTAAGAGGCACATGGGTGAAGATGTTTTTGGGGTGGCGGAAAAATACATCTTCGCCTATGTACCCAAAATTCTTTGCACCGGCCCTGCTGAAACCAATGGTATAACGATATCACTGACTGCACCATGGACTCTTGGAGCTGCCTGTCCTGCAACCCCTTCCCAGCACTGCGGCCAGAGAAATGATAGTGTTATGTGGGAATGTTTTGGCTACTTCAATATTGGTCCTGTTCTGTTTACCGAGCAGCACAATCATTTGTCAGGGGAAGAAATGATTACCACAAACCAGATATACCTCTAGCACCTATTAATGCATCCAATCCATTGGAGGTATTTATCAAAGTGTTCTGGGAATTCTTCATTTTGATTCTGTCTAAAGAGTTCGAAAAGGAACCTAAAAACTGATGGTTTTCTTCACTGTAAACAACGCAGGTTTTTGCAAAAACTTCCATTTCAAGTGTGGAACTTAGTGGCAAAAAAATGGCAAGTGAAACAGAAGACTTTTCTATTAGAAATTGTGGCAATAAATTCTTTGCGTTGTCGAAAAAATTATCCATAGTCAAACATGAGTTAGAAAGCAAAATGTAAAAAAAGTGACGGATTGAATAAATTGCTCCAATAATTCACTGAAAGTTAGATGTTAACATTTTAGTGACAGGAGATAAATCTCCCCCATTACGTAAGAAAACAGTGACAAACTCAGGGGTCATTTTAGCGAACTGGTGTCATAATAGAAGGAGCCTTTACTGTGTCAGTCCAGTAACAAAATGCTGGCAAATCCCCTCAGCTCAAGACATACATCAAGTGCAGGCGACTGTTTCGGCCTTCATTAGGCTTCAACAATGAGATGATGCTGATATAAGCACAGTGCGCAACGAGTTAATGTCTGGGCTACCCGTTCGATATAGGAATACACTAAGATTAAAAGTACGAGTGCTGTGCTCTAATAGGGTTATTAATACTTCTCATTTGGAAGTCTTGGAAGATAATATGCTGGATAGCCTTGTAGATTTATTAAAGAAATTATACAGAATGACTTAATAATGTCTTTCCAAGAGACACTAGTTACATTTTCTCTCCCTAATAAAGAACTCATTAACTATCTTAGCATAAAGAATTTTCTTGGTTTATCACTACTGAAATCTTCCTCAGAAAGATATTTTTTTATTCAGAAGATTTTCAATTATTCAAAAGTTAAAAAAGTTCTTTTAAAATCTACCAAATTGATTTATAGTCTAGATCAAGCTCCATTAAATAAGACAAACAAATGGAAAAAGGAATTAGAGATTGACTTTACTGATAAAGACTGGTGTGCCACTCTTATAGATATTCGAAAAAATATTCACTGCCTGAACATAATAGAATGTCAATATAAGATAATGTATAGATGGTATATGACCCCAGATAAAATAAGTAAGATGTATTCTGACCAACTACCACATTGTTGGCTATGCGGGAGTTTAGATGGGCCTCTCATTCATATATGGTGGTATTGTAACTTAGTTAAATGCCTCTGGAACTGGTGTTTTGACGTGTTGAATTCTTCGTTTAATATTTCAATTGGAAAGGGCCCAGATTGCTCTTTAGCATTTAAATTGGAATGTTTCCTCCCCTGTATCTAATTATCTAATAAATAAATTACAAGTGCAAGAGAATGGAAGTCCCGTTTATTATTTCAAAGGAGACAATTTAATGATCAATTATTATTCAAGCTGCGTATGAAAAAAGATTTGATGGGTTCCTGATTCCATCTTATAGATAAACATCAACATTTTATTAAATGGATTGAGATGTTAGAAAATACAGGGAGTGCAGAACTATTAGGCAAGTTGTATTTGTGAGGATTAATTTTATTATTGAACAACAACCATGTTCTCAATGAACCCAAAAAACTCATTAATATCAAAGCTGAATATTTTTGGAAGTAGTTTTTAGTTTGTTTTTAGTTATAGCTATGTTAGGGGGATATCTGTGTGTGCAGGTGACTATTACTGTGCATAATTATTAGGCAACTTAACAAAAAACAAATATATACCCATTTCAATTATTTATTATTACCAGTGAAACCAATATAACATCTCAACATTCACAAATATACATTTCTGACATTCAAAAACAAAACAAAAACAAATCAGTGACCAATATAGCCACCTTTCTTTGCAAGGACACTCAAAAGCCTGCCATCCATGGATTCTGTCAGTGTTTTGATCTGTTCACCATCAACATTGCGTGCAGCAGCAACCACAGCCTCCCAGACACTGTTCAGAGAGGTGTACTGTTTTCCCTCCTTGTAAATCTCACATTTGATGATGGACCACAGGTTCTCAATGGGGTTCAGATCAGGTGAACAAGGAGGCCATGTCATTAGATTTTCTTCTTTTATACCCTTTCTTGCCAGCCACGCTGTGGAGTACTTGGACGCGTGTGATGGAGCATTGTCCTGCATGAAAATCATGTTTTTCTTGAAGGATGCAGACTTCTTCCTGTACCACTGCTTGAAGAAGGTGTCTTCCAGGAACTGGCAGTAGGACTGGGAGTTGAGCTTGACTCCATCCTCAACCCGAAAAGGCCCCACAAGCTCATCTTTGATGATACCAGCCCAAACCAGTACTCCACCTCCACCTTGCTGGCGTCTGAGTCGGACTGGAGCTCTCTGCCCTTTACCAATCCAGCCACGGGCCCATCCATCTGGCCCATCAAGACTCACTCTCATTTCATCAGTCCATAAAACCTTAGAAAAATCAGTCTTGAGATATTTCTTGGCCCAGTCTTGACGTTTCAGCTTGTGTGTCTTGTTCAGTGGTGGTCGTCTTTCAGCCTTTCTTACCTTGGCCATGTCTCTGAGTATTGCACACCTTGTGCTTTTGGGCACTCCAGTGATGTTGCAGCTCTGAAATATGGCCAAACTGGTGGCAAGTGGCATCGTGGCAGCTGCACGCTTGACTTTTCTCAGTTCATGGGCAGTTATTTTGCGCCTTGGTTTTTCCACACGCTTCTTGCGACCCTGTTGACTATTTTGAATGAAACGCTTGATTGTTCGATGATCACGCTTCAGAAGCTTTGCAATTTTAAGAGTGCTGCATCCCTCTGCAAGATATCTCACTATTTTTGACTTTTCTGAGCCTGTCAAGTCCTTCTTTTGACCCATTTTGCCAAAGGAAAGGAAGTTGCCTAATAATTATGCACACCTGATATAGGGTGTTGATGTCATTAGACCACACCCCTTCTCATTACAGAGATGCACATCACCTAATATGCTTAATTGGTAGTAGGCTTTCGAGCCTATACAGCTTGGAGTAAGACAACATGCATAAAGAGGATGATGTGGTCAAAATACTCATTTGCCTAATAATTCTGCACTCCCTGTATATGATTATTGTCTATTGACCCATGATATCATCTAACTCTATAGGTATTAGAACCATGTTTATATCTGGATTACTTGATTGTAACTTAACATATTAGCCAATCTTGTATAGAGTTTCTAATGCTAATAACTTAACTTTTGATGCAATAGTAATGTTTGCCAAATCTGGTTACAATTAACGGTACTATCAAATTTATGTAAGCACTGTCCTTTCAATGTTTGATTTTATGTTGTCCATTTTTGTCAATATAAAAAAAAAAGAATAAATAATATTGGGGGGAGAAAGATAGTTGGATTAACCCCTTCAGGACGGAGTCAATAGTACACGTTCTGATCAAAACAAAACGTAAACAAAAACTGGAATTTGCACTATATGTCTGTTCAACCGTAAGTCACCGCTGTCACATTAAGTGCACCCACACTTATTATATATCATTTTGTTCAGGAGAAACAGGGCTTTCATTTATCATCAACTATTCATATATGGAACATAATTTATTATGAATAAAATTTTAAAAAATATGAGAAAATAAAAATGTATTTAAAATTTGTATTTCCATCTGACATTTTAGCTGTTAATGTCATAATACTGTTAGGTTTTACTGCAAAAAAAATGCACATATTTGTAATCAGCGATGTCTCACGAGTACAACAGTACCCCCCATTAACATGTTTTATGGTGTTTTGGAAAGTTACAGGGTCAAATATAGAACGTTCCATTTTCAAATTGAAATTTGCCAGATTAGTAATGTTACCTTTGAGATGGTGTGGTAGCCCAGGAATGAGAATTACCCCCATAATGGCATACCATTTGAAAAAGTAGACAAGCCAAGGTATTGAAAGTGGGGTATGTTTAGTCTTTTTAAGTAGCCACTTAGTCACAAACACTGACCAAAGTTAGCATTCATATTTGTTTTTGTGTGAAAAAAGCAAAAAAACTAATATTTGGCCAGTGTTTGTGACTAAGTGGCTACTAAGAAAGACTGGACATACCCCACTTGCAATACCTTTGGTTGTCTACTTTTGCAAATTGTATGCCATCATGGGGGTAATTCTCATTCCTGGGCTACCATACGCTCTCAAAGGCAACATAACCAATCTGGCAAATTTCATATATGTTACTCTCTAACTTTCCAAAACACGATAAAACCTGTACATGGGGGGTTCTGTTATCTTCAGTGAATTGGAAACCGCAGGGCAGGTCACGCTTATGTTCGGTCTATGCTCCTTAGGGGTCCACATAAAAAACTGGGACATATCCATCCCCATCAGGCCAATTTATATATATTAATAACAAAATAAAGTTAGAATGAGATTACATATGAATATATAATTTATATTACATTTTGTTTCAATATTTTATTTATTTATTTTATTATTTTATTTATTTATTATTGTAATTATACGTATATATATATATATATAATATATGTGTATATATCTATTATATATAATATATATACATATTATATATAACGTCATTCTAAGTGTATTTTAATATTAATATTTGTACTTATATTAATATTAAAATACACTTTGTTTGATGTTTAATATATATACATATATTATATATATATATATATATATATAAATATATTTATTTTATTTTAAAACATGTTTAATATTTTTTTATACACTTCCCACCAGCAGGGGGACTGTCTGACATTTCAGACAGTCCCCCTGCTGGCA